CCCTGTCATCTTCTTGCGTTCGGAAACCAAGGACCAAAGATTCGCGGTAGGACTTCTATCTTCTGGAAACGACAACTTTCTACCACTGTTAAGAAGGAGAGTTGAGCGCCTTTACGCGCGTCACAGATCGTGATGTGTGAAATGGTGGTGTCAGTACGCCCCCACCTTCCCCAGCCTTGCAGTTTCCCATGTTTTCCAGATTTTTCCAGTTTTTCCACTCAAAAATTTCCCGCAGAGCGGGTGAGGGGACCTATATAGCCATTGTTAAAGGAGGATTTTCCTAGATCATCCCTAACTTCCTACCACTTTTTCTGGAATTTACCAAATATTTTCCTTCTTCCCAAAAATTTTGCTATCGAGCGGTAGGGAGAGGGTGGGTATATAGTGCGCATGAAGAAGGAAATAAAAGAGGGAAAATTACGAAAAGTCAAACCGAATTTCTCCATCTCGGCAATTTTTCTCAAAAACACATTACGACCTGCTCACCGAAGGAATAGTGAGACCCCCCCTATGTGTTTCTCACAGCGATGCTGCGTCCTGTCTGGATCTGATTTCTTTGAGTAGATTGACCATCCTTCTTCAATTCAGTCCTCAAATTGAATGGGAAATCCCCTTTTCAAAAAGAGATTCAAACGGACCAAAGATTCTTCCCTTATTCCCCTTCATTTCTGCTACCACTGCAGGAAGTGCTCCTTATCACTCGTCTGCGCTTTTCGTCGTAACATTGCGATGGCAAAAACTGTGACCTTCTCATCACTCTCTCCATAAAAAAAACTCGTTTGTTAGGCATTTATTCCAAATTAATTATTCATTTGTACAAGTTCTACTCGTTTCTGTCCTCGTGTATACTGTAACAATGTTGATTTTTTTATGAACGTATTTTATCCTTATCCTTGTTTCGTGTAGATCACCCTGGTATGTTCCAGATAACCGGATTTGGGATGCGTTGCTGTTCGCATCTCTATCACTTGTTCCATGTACCGATCGTCATGTCGGGTGAATGTGCGTCGTAACTGAAACGATAGTGGAACAATCAAATTTGAATTTGAATCAATTTTTCCAACCCTTATGAATCATATTTTCTATCGTCAAGCTGAAAAGGCTCACACGGAAAGGTGATAATTCAATTTTCATAGAATGTCGCTCACATCCACGACAGGCAAGTCGCGTGAAAACGAAATTCGTCCGATATCCTTGAGTGTTAGAACGAGTTTGTTCGGCTGCACCTGTCCAACTTCGTAGGTCGTGAAGCCTGCAATGATTCTGTTCAATTTTATGAGGTTTGGAGGAAAAATGTATGTATCCTTTACAATGTATCCCTAGCCCTTTCGCGACACATTCCCATAATAATCAGGACCAAGTCATCGATGTTCTATGGGGGCGTCGGCGATCGTTCAGAACTGGATCTCCGTGCCCTCAGATCATTTCTTACACAACCACCCTGCGTGCTTATACGTAGCCGGTTCAGTTTCCAATCAATAACAGTGGCGTTCAATAATTTGGAAGTCGAAGAAGCGGAAACCCCAGAACGAGTGGGACCATCAAAATGTCACATCCGTTGTGGGCTCTCCGGTTCTTCAGCTCACAAAATGATTCGAAATCACAAAATTGTAAAAATGGATCTGCTTTCATCCACAGATCTCTATGAGAAACATGCATCCCCTAGGCGGCGGTCAGAGACGTATAACTGTTGGAGATTCCTGGCTTCAAAGTGGGAAACCTTGACTCGAACTGTTGAAGATTTTTCCTTGCAGGCTCTGTGCGATAGCGGCTAAATCCCGTTTTTCTCTATCTTTGTCAGCCGAGGCCCAATAGACCGAGTAATTGAGAAACTGGTAGGGATTCCCCAAGACTAGTTCTTGAATGGTACGTACAGTTACAACAAGGGAATCCCAGCTGTATACCACCAACTAGGCCAAAAAGGCTATTTGCAGGGCTAGGAGTGCGGAGAGTCTTTGATCCAGATGCATTCATTCCAGCTACGGTCCCTCTCTCCGCAAGTCCATCTCCTGTGATGGTTGAACCGTGCTCGTTTGGAGTACCTGCCCCCGGACTGCAATGAAAGCGTTAGGCAGTTCCATTGCGTGGTGCGGCACGCCTAGACAAGCAGGTCTGTCTAGTTCAGGGTTTCGTCGCATTCTGACGAGTGTGGGGCGCAACACTTCTTCGGCTGCGCATGGGATGAGAAGGTCGGTAGCAGTCTGCTTAGGTGTAAGGGGGGGGGGAGTGTACCCACCGTGCACTTATACTTAGACAGGAGACAGAGCCGACCCCACCGATCTCACGAGGTAACTTTCTTTGATTCCATGCCACTGTTAAAAGGTCAAATACTGAACTAACAGAGCGCTCAGGATCGCCCTCCCTTCTGCTCCCCTCCCCCACTTTGATCGCTACTGCGCTGTTCTTTGAAACAAACTTTTCCAGGACACTATCCACTTCTATCGGCACCCCCTCTCCACTGACTGTCTTACAGAAGTACCGCTACGGCATAAACCTTGCGTAGGAAGCACAAAGATCACCCGTATCGTACCCAGGTTCGGGGAACAAACGTTACCCATACTGGACTGACCCACCATTTATCATCTCTAATTATCAACATTTATGTTATTCGGCGAAGATGGTGTGTTGGCCAGCACTTAGCTTACTACCAGCGCGGTTCTGAGATCGGGTCCCACAACGGCTTCCACCGGGCGCTCTATCCCCCCCCTCCTCTGGGAACTCAGAATTGGTAGTGATTCGTCAGGGAGGACAGGAACACGGCTTGTACATCGGCTGGACCCCGCAAGTCATTGTATAGGCCACATCGCATTCAATAAGCCACTACGATTCTGAATGGAAGTAGAATGCCTGGCGCATCTCAAAAGGGACCGAGCGACAGCTTAATACTTTAGGCTTTTAGGTGCTGTTATTTACTACTACTATTTACCATTCCTTCATGCCCGTTTATTCGAACTAATGAAGTGGTAACAGTATAGTTCTAAGGAACGACACAGCGTCGTCCACAGAAGTGTAATAGAAAGAACTGGAAAGAAAACTGAAGAAAGCAGAACACATACCGTTATTTCCCGCAGTCATTAGGGTTGCATTACCATTTGAGTCAACAGTTAAGTATCCCCATTCATCATGAAAATGATCTTTTGTTGTGTGTGACCATGCCCGTGCTCTGAAAACCTTGCAATGAAATTCTTCTCATTCTAATTAGCATGATATCCAGTGAAGAGACTGTAGCATAACTAGAGTCGCAGACAAGTAAATTTCAGGCGAAGATGACTATCAAAAAAAAACTCGCTCTAGCCAAGGTAGTCTGGTTCTGTTCGTGTGGAACGGTCATTTTCAGTTTTACGACAATTCTCGATGGCAGCCGTATACATTTCAGTTTTACGGAAATGATATAATAAACGTTCTCAGTAATGCTTAAAGCGGAACGATTATCGATCCGAATAGTTGTGAAAACTCACGAGAAATTCAAGAATTGCACGTTTATCGATTTTGCAATGGGTGCCTCGCCAATGTTCAGCTCTTCACCAAATGTCATCGTGGGAACAGTTGGCCAGAAAACCTGAAAGTTTATCTTTTAGGGGAGTTTCAGGCTTGAAAGATCAGACGATTCGGCTCTGGGTAGTTCTATTTTATGGTGCGGCACGCACTGTACTCCCACTAGGAGTCCTACACGAGCAAGTCGGTCTACTCCATGGCCTGCTAGACCATAAAAATAGGGGCAGTTTGGCGACGGGTGTGGGGGCATCTTGCACTTTGGCTACTTTCCATCAACACACCGTCCAATTTAGAGAGCTATTCCGCGAGCTTACACGTGTAGACAGGTTGTACCATGGTGGCTAGACGAGCTTGCTCCAGCTTCACAACAGTTCACAGGTTTCACCAGAGTGAGACTTGTAACGGAAACCAATGAGGCACCGAAAGTACAAAATGCCCCCCCCCCCTCATAGCCGAACTGCGCTCAAAATTGTACATAGGGTTTCATCTTCTCAGAGGGTCTAGCGAACCAGTTCAACGGCTCCTGTGGGTGGAAGGCCAGCACAGTTCGGCTTGGTGGGGGCACAGAATCGTACTCCACTAAGCTTGCACAGGCCACCTTGTCCTGTAAACTTTTGTGATCAAAGTGGCTCATTCGCAAAGTTCGCAGCTCACAGAAGCTAACAGTCTGAATAAAGTTATCCCATTGCTTAACCAACAAAAAAACTAACAAAGGTGCAGAATGCCCCCTCAAAGTCGAAGAGCGTCTAGAAGGCCTGACT